AGTCACTGCTGCTGTTCCCACCTCAGCAACTGAAGCCACCAGCAGAACTCTACCCTGAGGATATCAACACATTTAAGTTACTCTCCTATGCTTCCTATTGCATTGAGCATGGTGATCTGGAGCTGGCAGCAAAGTTTGTCAATCAACTGAAAGGGGAGTCCAGACGTGTGGCACAGGACTGGCTGAAGGAAGCCCGAATGACCCTAGAAACTAAACAGATAGTGGACATCCTAACAGCATATGCCAGTGCCGTAGGAATAGGAACTACACAGGTACAGCAAGAGTAAGGTCTAGGATGAGAAGTGTAATCTCATTTCCTGTCAGAGGAATCAGCAGTGACATACGAAGGGTTTGTAACAAGGGTCCCAGAATTGTCTAGAAGTGAGCAGGTTCCAGTCCTGTGCTAAATGTTAGCACCTGTTGCATTCATCTTCCCACTTGCTATCATGTCAGTGAACTCCAGGAGTGCTTTCTTTGCAACTTGTGTAACATTTCCTGTTTTTCAGGTTTTACTGATCAGGCTTGTGAGCCACTCAAAATAATGTTTGTGATCTTTACTATTGAGTCTGCCCTTGGAACAAACGGAATAAAACAACACGATGAAATCTGTGTTATCTTATCCCTTTTTAAAAAGTGCCATTTCTAGTTTGTTGCATATGCAGAAAGCTTCCTTAAGCAGCAGCAAAAGTCCCTCGGAACCCTGGTGTTCTCAGGTTGTGAATTGGGTTAGCAGCAGTCCAAGGCCTCCTTCTTAGCTTTGGTGAACTGATTCCTGCTAGTCAAATTCAGAGTGATGTTCCAGCTAAATTGAGTGTCTTCAATTTATAATTGAAGACAGATCATTCCAGTGGTCAGCATGAGAAAATGTATGCCTCCCAAACTGGATTGTGATCCACAGGAGCAGGTATTTTTGTTGGGACCCAGTATGCACACACCTGTGTGCATCTGCACGAAGCTGTGCTCGAACCACTGCTTGTCATTTCTACTTGTGTTGCACTGTTTTCTGGTATTTGGGTTATAAATCTTCACTCGAGTGGAGGTAGTGAGCATGGAATCCTAGCAAATGGATTAAATGATTTTGTGTACTTCACATGGACTGCCCTAAGAAGCTAGAGAACTTTCTCAGAAGATTGAGATGATTATCATATTGGATAAATGATAATTCCTATCTTTTGACTTAATTTTTATGCCCTGAAGACTACCACCTCTTTGTAAAACTACTGCCAATTTTATTTTTCAGAATTAATAATTTCTTGTTGGAGTTTATGTTCCTAAGATTGAGGAGGAGCTTTTATCTGACCTACAGGTGAATCATGAGGTCACTGTTTGTACAGGTATCCCCTCCCTCTCCTCAACTTCAGTAGATGTAGGTCCCTGCACACTATACACGTTGTCCTTTCATTTTGGGATACGTTAGTCTCATCTTTGGCCTGATGTGTTCCCTCCCAAATACATGCAGTTTCCCTGATTGGGGCAGCTGTTTGCAGAATGCCTTAGTTTCTGAAGGTAGAGGTTTTGGGGCCCTACTTGGGAATGATGCTTTTCATGAGATACCGGGCAGTTCTAAATTCAGCCCTCCTTTGAAATGGCATGAAGTTGTAGAATAAATTAACTTGAAAAGAAGTGCTTGAAATTCTTGTTTTACTTCTAGGGGAAAAAAAAAAAGAAGACTGTAAGGTCCTTCAGATGAAGTAAGCAACTTGATTGCAGCTCTGTAAGATATAAATGACCAACCACTGGCTTTCACATCTAGTACAAAGCTTCCCACTTCCGTTGCTTACTAGGAAATGATACAGTATTGTAAAGGGGTCCCTGCTTGGCCAGTCTGGTTTGCTCTCCTTCAGGCCCCACACAGCTCAGCCTTCCTGAGATGGCCTTACCACTAAAGTGAGGCTTGCCTGGGTTCTCAGCTGTGCATCAAGGGAATGGAATCCAAACATCAAGGTTTGCGGGAGGTGGGTACAGCCTTGGGCAGTTGGGGCAGGCCAGCTTCACTTCAGCATGTCACAGCGCTCCCACTTCTTTTTTATTAAAGGTCACATAAAGCTAACGTTTCACTTCTGTCACGCTTTCCTTGTCTCAATGTTTCAGCCTTACATTGATTATCTTCCCTCCCATCCTGATTGCTGTTGCTGGGCATTGTGACACAGGCCTGCAATCCCAACACTCAGGAGGCTGAGGCAGGAGCATATCCAGCCTGGATTACATAGTGAGACTGTCTCAAAAAATAAGTATCAGGGGGCTGGGGATTTAGCTCAGCAGCACAGCGCCTGCCTGGCAAGTGCAAGGTCTTGAGTTCTGTTCCTGGTACCGGAAAAAAAAAAAGTATCAGATAGAAACTCCTTAATGTTTAAAGCTCCAGAACAAATAGTAAACAAATTAAGCCTTTTTGGTTTTTTGAGATAGGGTCTTGCTGTATAGCCCAAGCTGGCCGTGAACTCATGGTAATCCTCCTGCTTCACCTTCCCAAATGCTGGGATTATGGATGTGTGCCACCACACCTGACTCATTAAGCATACTTTTTGATATAATAAGTCTGATACTTAGGAGCAAATTCCCTTTCTGGGAGAATTCATTTGTAAGCTGTAACTTCATAAGTATAGCTGTGAAAGTTTACAATCTGAATGTGTGTTAAATTTGGGAATTAATGTCATTTAAGGCACACCCCACTATGTCCTTTGTATTAACTTCTCTGCTCAACATGTTATGGATAAAAGCAGTCTCCCAAATCCCTAATGAGTTGTCCCACAAGTTTGGGTTTTTTTGTGTGTTTTTGAGACAGGGTCTCGCTATGCAGTTCAGGCTGGCCTTGAGCTCACTTTGTAGCCCAGGCTGGTCTCGAACTCACAATGATTCTCGTGCCTCAGCCTCCTAAATTCAGGGATTACAGGCGTGGGCCACCACGCCCAGCGTCCCACAAGTTTTAAAGTAACTTATTTCAGGGGCTGGGGATTTAGCTCAGCAGCAAAGCGCCTGCCTGGCAAGCACAAGGTCATGAGTTCGGTTCCCGGTACCGGAGAAAAACCAAAAAAATAAATAAATAAAATAAAATAACTTGTTTCAGCTTGGTGAGAACAAATCATTAATACAGAAGATAAAAAGGCTTAAGTGTCAGGCAACTTACCTCATAGCATCCCCCCAAAGCCCAGGTCTCTTTGGGTTTGATGTTATCCAGGGGCAAGGAGGAAGCTATAATAGCTTTTACCTGTGCAAGGTGGTATTCTTTAGCTTGTTGGTTTTTATCACTTCCTGAAACAGATTCTGTGTACTTCTTGCTGCCTTTAAACTTGCTGTGTCCCAGGCCCTTAACTCTTTTTTTTCTTTTTTTTCCAGGCCCTTAACTCTTGACCCTCCTGCCTCAGGCTCCCAATACTTCTTAGTTCTGTTGAAGGATGCTGGAAGGGTTGGGACAGGAGCAAGTGGCAGAGTTTAGGTTGTCCTGGGAATAAATTCTATCATGACCTTACATCCCCTTGGATGTTCTCAGTTTTTAAGAATCTTCAGTCTTTCTGAACTTCTCTTGGGCTTGATCCCCAGCAGTCCTGAATTCTCTAATATTCACAGCTGGGCAGGTTCAGCTTGACAGGATTTTTAAATGGGCTCTGCCCTGTGTTAGGGTGAAGACCAGTTTACTGCGCAGACCGTGTACACCTTTCTTTTATACTATTTCATGTCCTAGCACATGTCCTATAATGGCTAAGTCAACACATTCCTTTCTCTGGGAAAATCCCACTTAAGCTTTCAAGTCTAACCTGTGAATGATTCTGTGAAACTGGTCTTGTCCATCTATGCTCCAAGAGACTCTTGTCTCACAGTACTTTTCAAAACTTTTTCACCATGACCAGCAGTAAAAAAATTCACGTACTTGTGGGCATGCTTATCTGTAGGCACATCCATGTTGCAATTTAAAACTGCATATGGTGTATTTTTTGTTTTTCAGTACTGAGGACTGAACCCTGCACCCTGCACTAGGTGTCAATTCCAGCCCTTTTTATTTTCAGACAGGATCTTGGCCAGGTTACTAAAGCTGGTCTTACACTTGCAATCCTCCTGCCTCAGTCTCCTGAGTAGCTGGGATTACACGCATACACCACTGTGTCTGGCTTTTACTTGTATTTTCTGATCCATCTCCTAAAAAATTCTAGGCACTGCCCATTGAAAATGACTTGAGTCTCTGCAGTCAAAAGTCACCATGTAGAACCTGAGTGCAGAATTAGTGACAACACATGCATAACATTTTCCCCAAGCCTATTTGGACTTGTGTTTAAATTGCATCTCAAGACAAAGTAAGGTTTTAAGATTAAGGTTTTAACCTCTGCAAAGGTTGAAACATTAAGGTCATCCAGCATTTACTAACACCTAAGTGCTAGATTTCAGTTTAATTCTAAATCCATGAGGTTATTTGATTCTCTTGAGTGTTTTGCTTGAATACTCCAGTACCACTGTAATAAGGCAGTTCTTGATGTTTTGTTGGAATGTTCTGTTGTGTAGTTTGGAACTCTTACACATTGGTTAAGTGCTTCACACTGGTAAGTGAAGTCTGAGGCCACTCTGAAGTTTATCCCATGTAAAGAATCTTTCCTCTCCCTTTCCCAGTCTAAGGAAGTCCTTACTTCCATTTGTTGTCATAAAAGTTACTCAGAGGTTTCACTATCCACAGTCCACACTTTATAGCTTTTTTGTTCTTGTTTTTGCAGTACTGGAGATTGCATCTTTGCACTGAACTACATCCCCAGCCTCCACCTCCCAACTAGGCTTAAACTTAAAACCGTCCTGCTTTAGCCTCCCAGAATGCTGGGACTGTAGGTGTGTATTACCATGTTCATCTTACACAGAGCTGTAGGTTGTATCAGAATTAAAACATTAAAGTAATGCAAGCTGGGAATGGTGACACAACTGTAATCCTAGCACTTGGGAGGCTGAGGCAGAATTGCCATGAGTTTGAGGCCAGCCTGAATTACACAGTGAAAACCTGTCTCAAAAAACTAAAAGGCAATATATATGTAGATTAATTACATTTATTTAGTCTTCACTTACCAGCAGTGCAGCCTAAAATTGCCATTATCCTGTTTTAATCAATTCTAAAATTGATACTACTGATCAAATAGCAACTGTGATGTAATTTCAAAACCTTTAAGTTCAAAGCAGCAGCAGCAGTACACAGGCCAGCAAAGTCTGATAAGCAACAGCATGCCAATATAGGCAATGGGAACACACTGTGGGTGTTCAGGGCTTATCCATTTATAAGAGCCACGGACCTCATGTGTGCTTGTATCAGAAGAGATGAGATGGCAGTGCTACTGCTTAAATGGTACGTCTTGAGCAATGCACTCATGGATGGTTTAGTAAATAGGACATAAGGAGCTTGATCTAAAGTCAGTGTTGTGTCCAGTTACTTCACAGTCCCAAATTCACCAAACTGGCATCCTCTTGTTTTCTTCGTGTCATGGTTAAATATTTCATTTGTTGTCACTGTCGCTGTCACTGCTGCTGTCACCATCACTGTCACTGGCCAGTGCAGTGGGGTTGCCCAGGGCTTCCCTGTACAGAAAAGTAATGGAGGTTACACTACAGCTTGTCCGGCACTAGGCCCCACCAGGCTGCATTCAACAATGTTAAGAACAAAGGAAGGGGTTCCTGCACCCTCATCTACAAGTTCCCCTAACTCATGATGGTGAAGTAATCATTAAATCACTAAACCACTACATCCTTTTTGTAAGGGAAGAATGGAACACAGAAGAGAGAGATTTGTATCTGATTGGGAGGAATACACACCCTGCTCCTTCAGGGTGAAGAGTCAAGCTCAGCTTTTTGGTTCTGGGGCTTACTTTTGTTCTGGGTCCATTGCAAAGTCCGTCATTGCTCTCTGGGTGAGATTCTCACAAACAGGCAAACTGAACACACTCGCCAGCTTCACAACCTCAATGGCCTGGGCAGGACTGTTACATGCTTTTGCGTTGTCCATAAATTCATTCAGAAGTTCACTTCTGTTTTTTAAAAAGGGCAAAATAATGAACAGTCTCCAACTGAAACCCTTCGAAGGCTTACACATAAAATTCAGACTAAGTTTATTAATAAAACCCTCAAACAGTAACTTTGGAGTCAAATTACACGATGTCTAAAGGCCCAAAGAGATAATATTCACTCCACATATCTTAAGGATTTACTCAGCATATCCCCAAAGTGTCATGATCACTGTGCATAGGTAAAAACTGGTTGCGCCAGGAGGCCCATGATGGGAGGTTGGCTTTGCTTCCTCAACAGAGCACCCAAACAGTGGCTGATGTGGACAAAATGGGCATGCATGTTATTTGCTTAGGCAAGAAGCCAGGCACAAGAGTGAAGTTCATCTAATTCCAGCCTATACCAAGTGAGACCTGTTAATGTCAACTTACCTGGGAATTTTATTATGCTTCCTAAAAAGTTCCAACATCTTCCTGTACAAGAAGAGAAAGGAGGGTGACTATCAATACTCAGCAAAACAAGGTCATCAGATAAAACTGTTTTCCCTGGGCTCAGAGACTAAACACCCTTTTCACATGGTAAACTCCTAAGATGTCTACTTGTGGGCTCTACTTGTGGACATTTCATGGGCAAATCTGAACATGGTCAGTGCTGAGAACTAGAGAATACACCCTACCTCCCTTGAGACACGAAGCACAGCCTGGCCTCCTCCCCTTCTATAACACACCATGGGTCTGTCCTAAAACTCTGTTACAAAGAGCAGGCTCAGATCGAGGCAAGTCTCATGTAAGTGCACGCCATCAACCTGCCACATGCAGGACAAAGGCGGAACACATACATTCAGCTCCCATGATTCAGCTGAGGTCCGTACCCCTGCGCCAATCATCACAGCCTGAGTCCTAGCAAGTGTGCTAACCTATCTGAGCTAACCAACACATGCAAATGCTAGGTTTGTCACAAGCAGTGAAGGAGCTAAGCAGGTCATGTGTTGAGTGAGCCACACTTCTAAGAGAAATTACAGCATCTTTGCCTGGAGATAGTTTATTTTTCTTTTTTTTATTTTAAAAAATAAAACAAGGAAAACATTAACAGACAGACATCCATGTATAAAATAGCGTAAGAATAATACAAACAAAACAGTTACAGACAAAGTTGTAGGAAATTAACCATGGTTGTTGTATTACTTATTGATATCTTCAAAGTGGTTTCTCAGGAAAACAAAAACAGAGATGTACAAGATTGATCAAACAAGTAATCATTAACTCTTCCTTTCTGTAGAGCAATATAAGACAGTACAACTATGTTAGCTATCCTGTATATACATACTTACATAACCTGGAGACAGTTTAACAGCCATGTTTTAGGCTGGTAGTCAGATGTTCAAGTTATTTTTTTAAGTAGGAAGCCATGCACAGTGCACCTTGGCCCCTCAACCAATGCATGTACATCCAACATGAACTAAAGTAGAACCAACTGTGACTACCCCAATACATCCTTTGGTTGACTCCTCACTTCTCGAAAATGAGTATGCATAAGGTTCCCATTCATAAAACTAATTGCTAGAAGTTAGTATATGAGTAAAGTGTTGATGAAAACATAACCCACATAATGACATAAACCCCAAACAGGTTCTAGTCAGGCCATATTCAGTAAATGCTAATTACTAAGAAGTCCAATTTAAATTAGGGAGTGGAGATGAGAGGAACACTCAACAATAACCCAGTGACCAAACACTGAAGGGAAAGACAATACTCAGCCACCTAACCCATGCATATACCCTGTTCTCAAAACTATCTCATGCACAGTGATCTTCTCCCAAAAATTTGCTTTTTAGCTGGTATTTCCAAGTTCCCACTGAAAATTCCCTATGCATTCTTGACAAACACATCATACAGCCAAATTAGAGAACCTCTATGCACTTTGGTAAATGTCCTAGACTCAACAGAAATGCTACTAACTTACACTCATGGTCTATACTCACCAGGCTTCCTGGGCTCTCTCAGCCCTTAAAAAGAGGAGAGCTATACAGTTGAGAACATTGGCTGGCCAACTGGGAGCAGCCTGTCTGGCTTCTTGGCTTTCGTAAGTAGATTTGATGTCAGCAGCACAATCAGCAAACGCCATCTGAAGCTGAGAAGCTCTAAGAGTCAGCAGAACTGAGCCCTGTTAATTTCAACTTATCTGGGGATTTTATTATGCTTCCTAAAAAGTGTGATGGTAATTTAAACTCAGGAGATAACGCTTTACCATGTGAACACGTCATGTATGTGGTACATAAAAAAAGTGAAAAGAACGAAGGGCCCTGTTCTGGGATAAATAATTTGATTATATGTAGTTTCAAATTCAACTATGAGTTTTCTTTTTATGTGAAAACTTTTTAAAAACCAAGCTATGTTCAGCATAGGGAAGAGCTATTTTCTTGCAGCTTGCTTTCAACTACAAGAAACAGAGTGACTTTAGGACTGGCATTCTGCTAGCAGCAAGATGCTTAGATGTATCATAACCTAAATCTGGGTTTGGAAGGCAGAACTCTTCACAAGGACAGCTGAAACCAGAGAAATCACCCTCTAAAAGGACCTCAGTGTTAGAGGATTACTGATGAGTATACATCTAATAATGATAATGAAACTTGAGTTTCAAGACAGTCCTACCTGTGGTGGGTGTTTATCCCTTGCCATGAGCATCAGGATTTCTTCTCTTATGTTACCACGAAATGGGAGACCATATTCTTTACTATCTTAAAACATAAAAAAAAAAAGAGTGATCACCAAAATGCTAAACTTTTGGCATTGTTGGGTTGTTAACATTATTGTTTTGGTGCATAAAAAAAAGTTGCTGCTGGGCATGGTGCACACCTATAATCCCAGCACCTGGGAGGCTGAGACTACATAGTGAGTTCAAGGCCAGCCTAAGCTACATAGCAAGAACCTGTCTCAGAAAATCAGAAGGACTGGGGAGATAGGTCAGCAGCACAAGCACTGCCTGGCAAGCATCAATTCCTGGTACTAAAAAAAAAAAAAAAAAAAGTTAAAAAAAAAATTAAAAACAAACACAAGTTGCTGACATTTGCTGATACTTCCTATTTTAGGTTTATCCCAAAATTCCAGAAAAGCAGTAAGATGGTTAATGGTACAAACAAATGAGTAGTGAAAGCACCTGTTTTCAGGCAGGTGTCAAATATAACACAGGTACTACGTTTGGGCAGCCCCCAGCTCTATCTACATATTTGGAAACTTTCCAGTGTTCTCTTCCATAGTCATTAGTACAGTCTTGTGCAGGGCAGGACTGTTCAGTTTCATTCATGGAAACTAAGGCAGCTAGAAATGGATTTTATGGTAACATAGTAGTCACCTAATAAAGATTCAGAGTATCTGTGTCTCATCTTGCACCCTATTCACACACATAGATCAGAACAACACACATCCATGCCATGGCAGCTACCAAGAAACATGGTTGTAACGGGACCAAAATGATCCAACAGTGTACAGAGGAGCAGCCGAGGCTTTAAGGTCACAGACTTGCGCTCAGATTTAGAATCTGCCACATAATTAGCCCTAATCTTTCCTGGGTCACATCACACAAGTGCTGCACAAAACTGAACTTATTCAAATGTCACAAAGGGAGAAACGGCATTTTCAACAAAGTTTTACTTATGCAGTCCTATATGCAGCATGAGCAAGTGATGAAAGGAACCTCAACTAATGTAGTCAACCCAGCCCAAAATGGAAGTTGTATCTCTAACAATAACGTTAACATGTTAATTAAGCTACAGGACAGTGAAGAAACAGAGGCCTGCTACGAACCTTTCCAAATCTGAGGAATCATTTCTAGCCGGTTGGCCACATCCAAAGCCTGGAGAAGATCTATCATCATTTGGCAATGGGGAAAGAGCACCTGATTAGGAGATACACAAATATAATTTTAAATCATTAGGAAAGATACCCACAAATTCATGTACAATGATAAATGAGGAGTCATGAGCCAGCTTACCGAAGGTATCAGGTCTTTATACCACTTTAAGGTGATATCAATTTGTTCCATTAGACAAAGCAAGCTGAAAAACCTGGAACTGTGATGGAGAGAAAAGGCATGTTTAACATCTCTACATCTAACAAGCTTAGGCTTAGTGAGACTGTACGTATTGAAATTTATAAACAATTTTAAGTTACATGAGCCAACGTTTGACCCAAGAGATGCTCACTGTGCCTAACATTCCAATCAACATTTTCCTGCCCCTGAACGGGCCATTTACCACTGCCCAAGTGTCTCCTCAGTGTTCTGAGGTCCTGGCAAGCAGGTACTGAGTATTACGAGCCATGTTAAAAGCATTCAATGTGAAGCAAGGATTCAGAAACACACAAAAGACAATCCTCCCACAATGATTTACAGGCTGCCTCTTTTTTTTTTGGTACCGGGAATCAAACTCAGGACCTTGCACTTGCCAGGCAGGCACTGTGCCACCGAGCTATACCCCCAGCCTCAGGCTGCCTCCTAAAACTCATGCTGTTATCTGCCTAAACACAAACTCACTGATGGAATATCCTCGTCTCCAGTATACTGATCTTCAAATACTTTTTAAAAAGCAAGGGATTGGGAAAAAGTCTTTAGGGATTCTCCCTGGTACAATAATTTGAAAATACATATAGAGGACATAGGAAAATAAAGGTACATGGATTTTGAAGTGTAACAAAGAAAAAACTCTCAAAGCATACACACTACCACATTCAGTAATTTTACTACTGCTTTAGTTTCTAAGTGCTCAATTATTATTAAATAACAGGCATGCTTCTTAAAATCAGGAATGAGATACGGAAAACCACCAAAAGCTTTCCACCTTCAAAACCTACCAATTAAAACAAGAGGATACATTTCCAAGCACACTTACTAATAGAAATTACGTTGAGAATCAGATCCAATGAATTTCCGGTTGTCTCCCGTGTTTAAAAGGCCATGTACTTGGTAAGCAAGGTCTAGATCTCTGAGGGATGAGCACTGAAAATTTGCAAGTAGTATTACTCTGACATTCCTAGAAGCTAAACAGTGGCTCATTACATAAAGAAAAAAGTACATTTTCTTGGGGAACACCTACGCTGATTCAATTTATTGTTTGCCAGCAAGTAAGTTTGAATTGGGAAAAAAATAAAGTTTAGAAAAATTAACAAAATTATTATGATCTAATATTATACCTTTATAAACGCTCCCAAAAGAAATCACCCACAGAACACAGTTCTTTCCTCCTGTGAAACACTGATTCTTATCAACAATTAAAAGATGTCTGACTCTGCATACTTTTTAGCACAGAAAAGAAAAAAGCCTGGAGAATATGGAACTGCAAACAAATTGTCCTCTGATCCAAGATATACTTTATTCATCCTGAAACAGCATGATACTTTTCTTATAAAATTAAAAGCCAAAATCAAAATCAATTTTTATCAATTTAAAATTAACCAGCCAGGCATGGTGTTGCACACCTCTAATCCCAGCAGTTGGGAAGCAGAGACAGCAGAATAATGAGTTTAAGGCCAACCTGGACCACATACTAACATTCTGTTTTAAAAAAAAAATTTAAAAAGTTAACAGGCAAATATAAAATATTCCAGAAGCTTATTGAACAGAGGCATAAAAAGGGCAATCTTTATAATAAACAGAGTAGGAATGCTATATAATTTACAGGCAAATTTTAGAGAAAGAAAAACAGAAGTGAAGACATGAACAAAAGTTAAGAGGTAGGAAGTAAAAGAACCTAGTTACAGTTAAATTCAGGAAATGGAAAGTAATCATCTAAAAAATCAGGACTATGAAGAAATGGTACTTACAACATACATAGCCGACTGAAAAAATTTATCTGGAAATCAAAATTGATAAAGAGTTTGTGTTATTAAGAAGGAAATATGTTTTATAATAAAAACCTAGTAAACAAAATAGGCCACCTGTTTTTAAAAACAAAGAATAAAGCTAAAGAAACACATGACAGAAATTTTGTCCTCCCAATAATCACCCAAAAGATTACAAAGATAATTAAACCCTTCCTTCATCACCAGACCTCTAATAGCCAGCACTCAGGCAAATGGTCTTGTCCTTCAATGGGAAAAACACAAGCAATTTCTATACATACCATCATCCAGGTCCACTGGAGAAAATGTCTTTCCCACTAATTCGTTCATTATACTGTAGATGATGAGAGAGTGTCCTTTTAAAGAGCTTCCTGCAGAGTAAGAAAGCAAAGGGATTTACCAGGGGTCCACTTCTTGTACCACTACCAAATACACAACACCTGGTGAAACTCACACCTCCTGAGTCTAAGGGCTATAGTATATACTAGTATTTATTAACTTCCTTCTCGTGCCTATTTTCTATACCTTAGTGATAATACAACTGTAATAACTGCAAATATTGTGTTATAATTTCCTAAAGCATGTATACATTTGCTGTCAATTTTATTATTCACTAAATTCTTCTTAGATTCACTCGATTATACTATATGTGCATTTCTTTATTATTGTAGCCTCTCTCCTTCGGATACATTTTAGAAATCACTACTGCAAACAGCCAAGTGATATAGAGAAACAGGCACTCCTCTTTGCTCCCTGGCCACCACAGTCATGGCTGCTACTTAGGATGGCTGAACTGCTCTGACTTTGGTTAACAATTGAACCAAAGTAGGAACATTATGGCACAGAAAAAAGCAACAAGCTCTGTGCTCTGAAACACTAGCATGGCTACAATCTCACCACGTTTAAAAGAGTAAAAATTCACAGGATATAATTATCGTGGAAACCATTTACCAAGATAGTCAATGACCTGTTGGACTATTTTTCTCCATAAAACAGAAAACTACAGGTGAAGGTGTGGACCTTGCAAAGTTAGCCCTCTAAACCAGAGAACCAGGTTTCCTTACTATTGTTTTTATAAAATCTATCACAGGAAGCAATAACAAGAAGTACTACTGTATCACTCAGGGTTTTTTTTTTTCTCAGGCTTGGGGCAAATGAGTAAGATTCTTAAGTGCCTACTATTATACATGCCTTCCAAGCATGGCACAAGATACTCTGCACAATTCACTTCATCCCCACACCCATAGTCCCTTTGAACGTAACTGGTAAGGGGCAGAGTTGAAACGTCAACTCACATGTGCCTGGCTCCGAAGTCCACAGCTCCCACGGGAACTAACTGACCTCTAAGTAGGTGACAAACAGGGTCTAAAGATCCTCCCAGATGCTTCACACTTTTCTCTGCAGCAACACTGTCCATTAACTTTCTACAAAGATGGAAATGTCCTCTACCTGCACCCCTGAATATGCAGCCACAGAGGGCTGCTGGCCCCCAATGGCACGAAGTGGTTTTTTATTTTACTCAATCAGCCACATGTAGTTAAGGACTATTGTACTGGACACAGAGCTCAAGAGACCAAAATGAACTACATACTAAAACACCTCTGTCCATTCTTATTTGTCCAGAAATACCAGTACATTTAAGAACCCTGTCCTCTCCAGCTCAACTTTGGCATCACAAACAGGGTCATTATCCTCAAGAGTAACTTTCTTCTCAGGTCATAAATGTTGTGAATTTTCCATTCTTAATTCAGGGGCAGATAAGATAACCTGCAACAATCATACAAACTCAAGGGAGATGGTCAATCTTCTACAAAAATTAAAGTGTAAATTAAAGTAATACTTACCATGCTGATAAAACACCTGAATAAGATGATGATATGTTGCAAGCGAGGGCTCTCAAATTACCAGATGGATAGAAAAAAATAAGAAAGTAAAAATACAGCTCAAAATTCAGCTTAATGAGGCACACTGAACTGTAAATACTGATGTTCACATTTAAGCAAAAGATGCCTATCTATTCTTTGAAAGAGACATTTTGCAGCCCATATTGTTAATGTAAATAATATGAATATATGACTCTTCATTGAGAATAATGCACAATGAACTTATCTCCAAGCAACCTTCTAAATAAGTAATTATTGAAACAGACACACATTTGGGTTGAAATAGTTATGCCAGAGAAATGTTATGGAATTAAAAACCATCTAACCAAAAGGGATCAGTTCTCTTCAGAATCAAGACCTGGAGCTCCAGTGGCACAATCAGTTAGCACACAGTACTTTTACAAAATCAAGACTTACAAAAAAGGATTAAAATACTAAAGTAACATTATAACCTTCTGTAAAGAACATGAAGATGATAAAAGCACTCCTCATGATAGTACATACAATTGGCCCTTGGCAGATTCTCAAGTCCCTTAAATAAAGTAACATACAACTCATGTCTCACGTATTTAAAATCAGCTCTACATTACCTGTAATACCTAACACAAATGGTATGTAAACACTTGGCACACAATACTGTTCAGAAATTAACAAAAGTCTTGTTTTCCAGATACTTCTGATCTGTGGCTGAATCCGTGGACACAAAAGCCAACTGCACATGTAACTAAGTGTGCCAAATAGTGGAAAGGTAGTTCCCAACATACCACAGTACATACACAGCAAAAGAAACCACACATCTTCAGTGCTTATGTGGCCCTGAAACCTTTGGTCAGCAGTCTCTCATCTTCCGAGGACTCTGAGGTGTACTCTCACCTATTCCAATGGCTTTCATTTCACGTAAGGTCTGTAAGGCTGGCACTTTTCCAAAAGTATGAAATCTTCGCAGGTATTTCAGAATGGTATTAAAAGTCTGTAGATTTGGTTTCACCTTCTGTGCAACCATATGTTTCAGCAGACTCTTCAAAGCAAGAAATAATTTTTAGTCCTTGGTAGTTAATTTGCCAAAACTTTATTTCATGTAAAAGGAGAGAATTTAGCTTTCTGGCTACATTTGTAGCAAGGTAGTAACTACACTATATCCCTAAATTAAGAATTGCCTGGCCGGGTGTGGTCATGCACTCCTGTAATCCCAGCACTTGGGAGGCTGAGGCAGGAGGATTGTTGTGAGTTTGAGACCAGCCTGGGCTACAAAGTGAGCTCAAGGCCAGCCTGAACTGCATAGTGAGACCCTGTCTCAAAAAGACCAAAAAAAAAAAAAAAACCAAAATACAATTAAAAAAGGGGGAAAAAAAGGGGCGAGCCCCAAAAAAAAAAAAAAAAAAAAACAAAAAAAATTGTCTACTAATTAGCAGGACCAGTGATTTTGCCTTTCAGAGAAGCCTCCTAAGTCATCCAACCCACATGATTAAGGTGTCTAATTGTCTCCAGGCTTCTACCTATTTTCTAAAAAGGAAAAAACAAAACACAAAAGACTAAACTAGTGTGATGTAAAAACACTATTTATATCCCTAAATTACTAGACAACAATCCAATGATTTCAATTTAACTTACCTGACAGAAACTGCTTGGGTTTATTTTTTAAAAAAAAACCTATTACGCAGAATGAAAAAAGTAACCCAGGTCTTCCTGAATTCTAGCTGTAGACTCTACGTCAGGCAACCTTTTCTTCTCAGGTATCAGCCACAGCTACTGAACTTACAGCGTTACTGGAAGTCAGTAAACAAGTTAACTGCTGTCTGAGAGCAGTAACTGCCATACAGATGCTCAGTGAGCGCTGTCTCCATCCCACATGAAGGAGTTAAGGTCTACTGGAAGACAAATGAGGATTTCTCCTTACCAGTATATTATCCCATTTCTTCTCATATTTCTCATTCATCAATGCTGTTGCTTCAATCAATGCATTAAAAGTGTGTACATCAGCTGTAAAAGATGAAAAACAGAATGTGGGCCAACAACTGAGGCATTTCATACACTCCTGAGACAAGAGGAATAAAGGGAATGCTTCAAACTCACCATGGAGTCTGTTGTTTAGTAACTCAGTGTACAAGTTCAGTGCCTGTTCAAGAGCTCGATGCTGAAAAGGGGAAGGAAAAACCAATCATCAGATTCATTCATTACAGAAATGTCTGCACATCTACTAAGCCAGGGATGGGAATACAGCAGTAAACAAAACAGACCAGACCCCCATTCTCAGGAGTTTGTACTCTGGTGCAGCAGTTTTCTACCCAGGAAGCACTGGGAGATCATGAAGATATCTGTAGTGGTCACAACGCAGGGTGAGGGAGGAAAGTATTACATTTAATGGAGAGAAGCAAGCAAGCCTCTCCATTCTAAAATGCACAGGTCAATTCCCCAACAAATCATCAGACACAGTACATTTATAAAGGCTGAACATTCCTAATCCAAAAACTGTAAAATTTGAAATGGTATGAAGTGTGAAACTTACTGAGCAATGATACAATACTGCCAAGTGGAAAACTCCACACTTGCCCTCATGTGACAGGTCACAGACCAAACGAAGGCCCACAAACATTGTACAAAATTATTTTTTTGCTGTGTGTGTGTAATGTATATGAAATTTAAACATGCCTTGTGTTCAAACTTGGTCTCATCACCTAGACATGTCATTAGGTACATGCAAATACCCAAAATCCTTAATCTGAAATCCTACTTCTGGTTCCAAGCATTTTGCACCCAACCTGTAGCTGTGAGACTGAAAAACCCTGACTTAGTTGACCATAAACATAGTAAGTAAAACAAGCGTACCTTCACCATTCCCCGGATCATTGTGCAGTAAGAATGTTCATTCTTCTCTGGCATTACAGCAAAGATTCGTTCAGCGTTGTTATGTGTTCTAGATTATTAACAGAATAAACATGAACCAGGGAAACACAGAAAACCGATAAACAGTCACCACCACTAACAGTTTTCAGCACTCCTGGCAATATGTCACGCACTTTAGGCACAAACTGTCAAGTAACTCTTCCTGTCCCGAGAAGGAGAGACGGTTATCATTATCTTGAAAATGGGAAAGATCAGGCTAAAAGACTTTAAATTACCTGCAATACTGCAAATAGGGAACATAATGATAAAAATGAAATACTTATGAAGCAAAAAGTTCTCACATACAGAAAGCAAACCGTATGACCCCTCAGCCAGAACTCCCCAGAGGCAACCACTAAGAACAGTTCTTTCTGAACCTGTTGTCATATCTAGCATAAGTGCACATATCTCTTCTAGTACTTAAAAAAAAACCAAGGTCTTTCTTCAAAGCCCACACATGCCCTTCACAACTATTCAAAATGACTAAAATCGACCAAGATATTTAATCTACCATTCCATGACATTCACGACTTCAAAATGAGTTTTAGATAATAGGAGCTTTCCTTCTCTAAATGCACACTTGAAATATTTTTCTAATATTTAGATACTCCCACTCAACTCAGTTACAAATTCTCAATGTAGTTAAACGTTATTTATCTTTTATCAGAACTACTGAATATCTCTGCTTGCTTGTCAATAGTCGTCTTTTTGTTTTCTCAGTGCTGGTGACTGGACCCAGGGCATCCTGCATGCAAGGCAAACACTTTCCCAATTGAGTTGCATCCCCAGACTAGTCAAGTTTTAATTTGGAACCACATTCCATTGTCTGTGTATTTTTAGTAAATAAAACTATCAAAAACTGCAGAATGAAGGGTATATATTTCAAGGTAGCACTATTGATCAAACTATCAAAGGCCATACTATGTAAAGAATATGCCAAATTAAACAATGGAAAAACAAAACAAGTATGAACCCTAAAAGATTTTTGTACTGCTGGCTGAAGGTGAAGACTTTATGACAAAAGGTCCTAATCATACAAATATAATGAAATTTATATTGCACAATAAAAGCAAACTATTTTTGTTTGTTTGTTTATTTTCTGAGATAGGGTTTCACAAGGCATTCCAGGCTGGCCTCTAACTTGCTGCAACCCTCCTGCCTCAGCCTGCTGAGTGCTGGGATAGAGAGATGCCCCACTGCAAATTCTATTTTAGAACATCACCTTTAGGAGGTGGTGCAGCATACTCTACACTGTATGCCACTGTAATACAAAACTCTAATTATGTGTAACTTACTTCCAAGTAGTGAACAACTGATGACCAGTCTTCTCCTTAGATTTCTTGTTATTTTCCTCTGTGGCCTCTTCCTGGATTATCATGAAAAACCAAGAGAAGACAATGGAATACAATCTCCCAGTCAGACTACTTAAAATTACAAAGGCAAAGAAAACTGAGAAAAACAAGCCAAGACCTTTTTTTAAAGACTAAGCCTTGCCATCTGATTCAGAAGCCAGGCTCTGGGATGAAGCTGCCCTGCAGGCTTGGCTAGCACTGCAGAGACCAGTGCTGGCTTCAGGCTGTAGCCTCAGGTGCTGCAAGGAGCAAAGGGGGCACTGGGGATTTAGCTCAGTGGCACAGCACCTGCCTGGCAAGCGCAAGCGTGAGTTTGATTCCCGGTACCGGAAAAAAGAACCAAAAAAAAAAAAAAAAAAAAGGGCAAAGGGTCCCTCTGGGAAACAAGGTGACCTACAACCCACTGCATGTGCACTTCAGAAGACTTACATTACTCTGCGTATAAACGGAAGAAAAGTATCAGTAATCCTATTATCTAAAAGTTTTTTTCTTCTTGGAAGTACATTAAGATACAACACCAGGTTGTTTTTATTTTGCAACAGAGTCTAGCTAAGCTGCTAAATTGCCCAAGCTGAGCTTAAACTTGCAATCCCCCTGCCTCAGCCTTCCAGAATGTGGCAATTTTGTAGTGTCACCATACCTGAGAAATACTTTTAGTGACTTTATTCTTATGCACACATAAAACACTTTTTTAAAAAACAAAAATGGAATATATACATGTTGTGTTCCTTATCTAAAATGAATGTTTCAGACTTCTGATTTTGGAATATGTGCATATATACATCTCAGAAACTGAACTCAAGTTAAAACATGAAATTCATGTTTCATACACAAAGGACACACAATGTAACTTTATACAGTATTTTTAGCGTCTGAATTTTGATGGCAAGCAGTCACATGAGGTCAAGTGTGGAATTTTCCACTAGTGGTGCTCAAAAAGAGTATGTGAGGAATTTGGTTTCAAAAATTTTTATCAGGGATTTCAGATTAACGATGTGCAGCCTATACGTTGTTGTATAGACTGTTTCCCACTTATACAGTGAATCTTTCCATATTGGAACCAACATGTACCCAGTGTTCTCAGTGGCTACTCAATCCTCCTACCATAATTTGATCATTCATGACTGGACATCTGGATTGTTTTCAGTATCTTTGCAATTACAAGTATAAAATCCATATTACAAAAAATGTCATATGTATCTTCATTTACTTGACTCAAAGGATTCCTCAAAATCTATTCTGTAAATGAAATTCTTGAGTTTGGAGACACAGGATGATTCCACCCCACAGGTAGCATACGGCACAGCACCTCTAGCCTAGAGTGCTCTCTCCTCCCTACACACTCATGAGTTTTTGAAAAGGCTCAGCCATGCAGTCTTTTTGTGTATGACCATTTATAATAATCATGCTGTCACCATGACAGAAGGGCTGGTCCAAACACTTCTGGTCAAAATTTTACATGAATACATAGTAAGTGAGGACAAAATATTCTAAGCATGAGTCTAGGGTTAAAATAATTGTTTAAAACTCTCTCTTCCTCCAGCACCACTTTTTATCATCTCTACTGTATCACATTTCAATACAGTTGTCTTACTGCTACAATGACGTATGGCACAAGCACACGTTCTATTTTGAGGAGTAAAAAAAAAAAAAAAAAGCCAAAAGTCATTACCAATTCTTCTGACTGTTCAGTCTGTTGAAAATGATATTCAGTTGAGGGCTCTTGGTCACCATAGTAACACAACAAATCCAAGAGACTATTAGTTGTTTCAAGAGAGACAGTGGTTCCTATGGGAAAGAAAAAAAAAAAACTTCAAGCTGTCAAGAACTAAAGCCTGACTGCTGCTGTCCAATGGTTTATTGCAAGAACAGTTAATGCTTTACTTTTTTTTTGACCAATTTTGCATGCTTATATCTGATAATCTGAACAACTAATTTGAAGACAACAATATGCAACATAACCACTGTTGAATTCCTATCATTTTGTTTGGTGAAACTGCATTGTTTATAGTTTTTGTTTTCCTTTTTTATTCTCTTTAATGGTTTGATTAATCTTCCATTCTTACACCTGGTAATCTGACCAACTTCAATGAAGATAAAAATATGTAATATAACAACCACTGTTAATCATTTTGTTCTAAAACCCTGTAACATTCTTATTGTTTTTACTTTGTTCTGTTTTTGTCTATGTTGTTAGCATTTTGCGATTGTTCTTTTTTTTTCAATTCTCTTTAAAATTAAAAAAAAAAGAAGAACTAAAGCCTGTTAAAGTCCTTCACTTTTTCTATTAGCAGTGGCATTTTTGGCTACATACTTAACATCATTTACCACTTTATTAATTAATGACCATGCACTCAACATCAGCCCAAATACAAAAGACACGAGGACAGGGACAAATCCTCAAGTGTCATATAGTTTGAATGAAAAGATTAAAATATGAGATGAGTTTGACCCCGTGCTCTGTTACTTTACATACTCTTACAAACAACTTCATGGTTTTAACTATCAATTCCAAAACAACCATTCTGCAAACTATTTCCACTTAGTTCTCCTGGCCTAGACAGCATGAACAAACACAAACAATCTTCCACTTGGATTAAGACCCTCACTAAAATCTTGCCTAAAAATACTAGTATAAATACCTAATTAGAGTAGCCTTTAAAAGCTATTATTCACTTCAAGCTGTAGCACTGAAAAAAAACCTGTTATTCAAAACATGCTACAGCTGAGGATGGTGGGTCTGTAATTCCAGCACTCAGGGGGCTGACACAGGAATATCACTGTGAGTTCCAGGCCACCTGGGCTATACAGTGAGACCCTGTCTCAAAAAGAAAAAAAAACAAACCCTTCCATCTTGGTACTCATTAAAAGAAAAGGGCAGAGTGAAGAGAGAAGATATGAGACACAATTTACTACATTAAGATAATTGATGGTATCTTTCTAAAGAAAATACACTGATAGTAAGTGTTCACCAGGAAACCAAAAGCTGAGAAAAGGGAAAGCAGAGTAAAGAGGACACAACTTAGTCTTGTATCGTAGAGCTGTGCAAGCCTAAAAAATGGCCTAAAGTCAGTTTCCTTTACAAAATGACTATTAAACACATCAACTTACAAGGCACTATGGAATCGAATGAAGCATGTGAAATGGCTAGCAGAATGTGTGGCCCTTACAGACGCTTGAAAATGAACGTACTTCTCCATCAGCCTCCCCAGTGAGCTGGCTCACTGTTACCAAGCTATGGTTCTGACACACTGTGTTTAAAAAATGTTCACTGGATGACAGCACACAACAAAATCACTGTGGGTAAAAACTGTAAAACAACTATAAAAGGATATACGGGACTAAGAACTTTAATGTAGACTGATACCAGGTGTTGATCACATTTGACAAGAACAGCCTCACCAATTTATAATCTGCTGTAGTGACTCACTTGTACACCTTATACTGTAACAGCTTAAGTATGGAAGTTCTCCAACACAGTTTTATGCGAATGTTTGTGTTCAAGTACACACTGAGTAGTCCAGTTCAGCCTCATCACTTCTGCGTTTACCAGATTTTCATCCCATATCACCAAACAGCGCTCCAAACTTCAAAATTTAAAGAAGTCATGCCAGCTGACTCCGATGTTCTGTATGAATATTCTCATAGCAGTGAATCAGCTGTGCTATTTAGAAGTATATCCCTGGAGGTTCAGCCAGATCTAACCCAGAGTGCAACAGGATTTCAGAGCTAGAGGGTAAGGAATTAAGTGACTTTCAAGGCCACAGAACAATCACCATCAGAGCCAGCAGCAGTATCAAACCCCTGATCCTAGATTAGTGCTCTTTAAGTATATCTGTCTGCTTTACATGGCCCTCCCTTCCAAAACTCAAGATATATACCTACCTAACATTAAAAGTAGAAGCTAAACAAAGAATGGTTATATAATTTCTCTACCATCACTACTGCTATAGAGCTCAAAACATAATCAACTAACGAAGATCCAACTTTTCTTGATGACATATTGAGCAAACTCAAGGCCTCTCACACACTGAAAAACACTATGCCACTGAGGTATATGCTCAGACCGCACAAAATTGCAATTCAATCTTGCTTGTAATTTTAAAACAAAGGTAAAGCAGTATATGAGAGATTGCTTACTCAACTTAAAAACAGAAACACCGTTAACAAGCGAAGTTCAGTACCATTTGCTGGATCACATAACTGTGGCCTATGAGGAGAGAGGCTTTAATCAAAATGAGTCACCTGCTTGCAAGAGCTGATCAAACATGTTCACAGAAGCTTTGACTTTTCTGAGCCTGATTCGTTCCTTCAGGGCAGCTTCACTTACATCTTCTATCAAGGGTTCAAAGTACTCAGGCATTAAACACTAGGAAGAAGAGATGGCTGAAGTTATACAAACAGGGAAATGTGAAGAGGTAAGCAAGCCAGGCGTGGTGGCACACACCTGTAATCCCAGCACTCACAAGGCTGAGGCAGGAAGAGAGGCTGAGGCAGGAAAATCGTTTCAAGTTCGAGATTAGCCTGGGCTACAAAGTGAGCTCAAGGCCAGCCTGAACTGCATGGCGAGACCTTGTTTCAAAAAGACCAAAAAAAAAAAAAAAAAAGAGGCAAAAAAAGGAACTTCTATCACCAACACCCCAAGGTAAAATTTCACTGCTCCAATTCAGTTTTCTTGCACCAGATATTATTCATCACCTCAACGTGAATGGTAAGAAACAAAACATTAAAAAAGAGAATTCTCAAGTATGAAACAAGAAAACTGTTTAGCTATTTTCAAACTTCAGAATATTTAATCTGTATCTGAAGGTCCCCACACTTTCAACTAAACTTCCCAAATTCAAGTTGACTTTACTTTTGCACCTGCTAAAAACCATTCTTCTTCCTTTATTCCCAATCTGAATTAAACATGTCAGAGTGCACCCAGCTCTCAAAGGCTGGAAATTTTCACCTTGGATGGTGCTTTTCCTCTAAACATTCAGTACCACCCAAGTACGATTGTACCTCACTCACTAAATTTTACAATTTTTTTCTCAGTATATGTTTGCAGAAAGTAATGATTACATTGATCATGGGCAGCAGGCCTTCGTACATAGCACGTTTTGACTCTTTTTACTTCTCATTCTTCTCTCCTCCCTCCATCTCTTGATCCTCTTCATTCACTAATTTATTCAAATTACTTTGAGGGCGTATAAGAACCTTAGGCATTAAGATAGGCAATGGGGATAGAGACATAAAAGAAAGGTACTCTCTACCCTCAGAGTACTTCCAGTCTAAGGGAGAAAGCAGATAAAGAAATCATTACAAGGCTGGGGGAGCAGCACAGGAATAAGTTTCTACAAGGTTCTGATATGATTTCCTAGCAACCCCGCCAAGAAAATTTTACAATACAGTATCAAAGATGCTGGCCACTGTAAAAGCAGGAGACCTTTGGATGACTCCAAACAAGAGTGGCCTTGAAGCTAAGCACAGGAAAGTAAACGTCAACAACATAAAGGGGACAGAGCAGACCAAAAAATGATCATTCTATAGCTGCCACTGTCCTAGTTCAGGAATTTAAAAAGAGAAAATTAGCAAGGAAATCTAAGAAAGACACACTGGGAAGGAGTGGATAGAGAGCTCTAAGGGAGACTGAGGAGCAAAAGTCATAGAGACAAAGATCCACAAGCATAGTGCTGCAGAAGCCAAACAGGGAAACAGGGTGAAAGCAATTAGATATAAAAAGATTTTAAAAGTACGTAAGTGCTTTTAAAAATTTTTTAATTTTGAGACAGGGTCTTGCTGTGTAATTCAGGCTGGCCTTGTATTTGCAGTGATCCTTCTGCCTCTAGCTCCCAAGTGCTGGGATTACACGCATGTGCCTTAAGAGAATTCAAATGGCTACTTAAATTTACCCATAAGAATTTGATTTCATTTACATTTATGTAGTATTATGTCAAAAATGAAACTATTTACCGGTATATGAGGTTCAGCTATGTCCTTCTGAAAATATTTGGGATGTGAATTAATAATAAACTTTGCTGCATTTTCACCAGACTTCTTTGCCAATAAAAATGTACGCTATTAAAAAAGAAAAAAGATTTAGATACAAATTGGGATTTAAATATAATTGAGGTTCAAGCAAATTCAAAATCATGACCTAATAATTATTCTCCTCTTCTAAAGAAAAAGAAATGCACTGCAAAATGGAATTCCAATTATAAATTAAGTTACTGTTCACACATCCAACTCTTCTAATGAGTGTAACATAACTCCAGGTCATGTACAAATCAAAGTATATAAAAACAACACATTTAACTGAATGGTTTTCTACAGTATGAAAAAGCCCTAATATTAAAAGCCAAAACCAAAAACTCCAGAGACAATCTCTAAATCTTTCTGTTAATAGTGAAGGATTCACAAAGTCTACCAGTATGTCACCATCTATAAACTTTTCAAAAGCTTGTACAATTAAGTTACACATACTCTCATATTCAAACCAGTAAGATAAACAAATCCAAAACAAATTACGTGAAAATACACACAGATTCCAAACTAGATGCTGGCAAGAGGTAAGGATCATCCTGAAATGCATAAGGGGCAGCTGTGGGATCCTGTGGAGAGAAGGGATACCTTTTAAATTATATTTTTATTTGGTAATGATCACAAATTCTGTAAAATACGTTTTAAGTATGCATGTTACATTCAGGAGCATGTAGATTTGTGCATATATGTAAATGTAAGACAGACATATATTAATAAAGATACCGTACTGTCATCCTGTGAGACTTGCCAACAATTATGCACAACTAAACCAAATAAACAGCTGAAACTCCCATGGCTGATTCTTAAGACTTGAGTCTGCTATTAGTGAGGACTACTGCTATTTTCAACTCTAAGTAAGGAGCCTCTAGATGAATTCTGCTATCAGTTTCCTAGTAGAATATTTCCTTCAAAGCCTGGCCACTGGCCATCCATGTTCAACTTTGTCCAAGAGTCCTTCCTAAAAATAGAGGAAATACTGGGCCCTCTCAGGTGTGAACAGCAACTGTTCCTCCAGTGTTCTGTTGCTCAAAGTGCTATACTTCTTAAAGCTGTTCCTGCTGGGAGTGGTAGCACATGCTTATAATCCCAGCACTCTAGGAGGCTAAGGCAGGAGGAGGAAAAGCTCAAGCCCAGTATGGGCTACTTAGTGAGACCCCTACTCAAAATAAACAAACAACAACAAATATTCCCCCTTATCCTTGGCAAAATCAACTCAATAGGACAACTGATCCACAATTACTTTCTCTGTCTCCTCAGCCTCTGACACAGCCACCTGGGCCTCCTGGGACCTTTGTTTCATACTAAGAACTCACCTATCTCCTGAATCTGACTGTGCCTTTGATGTCTTTCTTGCCTTACTGACTTACTTGGGAGTCTCCAGAGGCCGGCGCTTCCCTGAAACTCTCAAGAGAAAACTGGTCATACCTAGTGGTCTGTATGCAATTTATTTTTTTCTTGTCCTAGTTTTCTTCAGCCACTTTCAAAATCTTTATCACTTAGGCAAGGTTTATTTCACCTGGCTCCATCACTGGCTACAAAGATGTAGCAGATACCAGTTCTACAGTTAACTGCCCTCTATTATTCCTGTACTATTCTCAACCTATTGCCTAAGTCTGGTTCTGATCTTCGTTACTGTTATTTAATAAGACACCTGCAAGAGCCTCTACTTTTGCTGACATGCTCACCTCCTTCTAACTTACTACACTCACTCTTCCTATCAGTCTCCTGATTTTTCTCTCAATGACTCCAAAATCTTCTGTGGGCTCTGAGAAACAACTTCTCCAATTTGGCCCCATAGCTCGGACACTTCAACCCAAATTTCCTTGACTTAAGGAGAATCTACCATCAGTTACTGTCTCAGGAAACTGCAGAGACCTGTTCTCAGGTTCAGCCAATTCTTGCTCCTTAAAACTCTCCACCTACTCCATGCTCTCCTACTGCAATAATCACTGCTCATATATTCATGCACCATTAAATGCCTCGTATGTGCCAGCCCTTACTCTAGTTACCAGAAACAACAGACAAAAATCTTCACTCCCTCAGAGCTTATTACATTAGGGGAAAATCTCCACAAAATGAATACTACAGAAACTAGGTAACAATATACTTGTACATCTAAGGAATCTGCCTGCTGAGAAATAGCAGGGAAGCCACTCCTGAATTCTAGGAAAAGTAACAGGATCGAGGGCCACAGCTGTTGAATTGAGAATGGTCTGTAGGAGGCTGAAGCAGGAGAGGACAGACACTGTTACAACTGTGAATACCAAATATGTGTTATTAGCCAAGTTAAAAACTAAGAACAAAATCCTACTTACCCTGTTTACTGTGGATGCCAGTGCCTGAAGAACAGCCACTTTATCCCTAGGAGTAGCAATCAGAAGTTAATCTTGTCAGGCATCTTCATACTCGAAGTGAAGAGATAATTCTACTCTCACTGCCTCAGCCAGTCACAGCTCAGGACTCACCTCCAGCTGGTACCTACTCTCTCTCTGGTCCACTGACTAATAACAAGTTAGAAAGCAGGAAGTGTCTGGTTCTTTTCTCTGAAGATGGTGGTGAGTAATTCACTTGTACATCTGTGTGCTTTGCCTGTGCTCTGGCCTGGTCCCTAATAGCATCACCCACGGCTAGAGATTCCTGCCCTCACTTCATAGAACTATCTTGCTAGCCTCCTCCTATCCGCTTTCCCACACATTCCTACTGCAGGCTTCTAGACTACTCTTGCCAAATTAGACACTTAACTCAGGCACAGATGAAAATAGAGGCTCCACTCTGGACCTACTGAATCAGAGCCTCCAGGATCCATGGAAGACTGTCACTTGCACCTTTCTTGAATTCTCAGACTCTAGAAAATCCGCCTGGTGTACAGCCTTTCAACCAGCCCTTCAATACCCCAATGACAAGAACTACAGGTCCACTATCCACTGTCACTTAACCAACAGGTTTCAGAGCATAAACGACAAATGAGATACCTGGTTTAAAATCTATTTTTACTCCTTTGTTAGATTTAATATGCTGCATTTCCAAGACACTTGTAATTCTTACCAAGTTAGCACATCTTTCTAATATAATGAACAAATGCCAGAGAAAAAACTGACATATTACTCACTAGTTCTCTTCTTTAAGAAAGGTTATTTTTTAAGAGTAATCACAATAGATTATCTTTAAAAAAAACCTAGGCTTAAAGTGTTAAGCTAAAGTATCATGTGTTATCTGTCATCCTGTGACCTGACCCTACCATGAGTTTGGTATTCTTTTAAAAGTACTTTTACCACACGTACTGCCATAAAAAATCGTGTCATTCTCAATGTTTCTTAAATCTGACTATACTATCAACGTCACTACACACAGACCTAATTCATTTGTTATATCGTAATATAACCATTTACTTTTTTTTTTTTTTTTTTTTACTATTTACTCATCGATGAGTATTTAGTATGAAGAACATTCTCATCCATGTCTCTTTGGATTTATATGCTAGTGTTCCTCCTAAATTGCTAAGCAGTAAGCATGTGCATTTTAAATTTTGACTAGGTCAAATTTCCTTCCAGAGTTTTAACAATTTACTGCCCCAGCAGCAAATGGATTTAAGACACCCAACATCTTCTTCTTGCTAATTTGGTAGTCTTTAAGTTGCATTTTTGAGTCCAATGCCTAATGTATTCACCAAAACTGGGTTCTCCATTTCCCTAAAATAACTATACAATTTAAATTTACTGAATCAAAACATTGCCCTTTTCACGTCATATTTGTATAGAAAAACTCACAATGACTATTGAACAAGTTATAAAGTCTTTTACAGCACCTGTGTGATCTAGGAAACCCGAACCTATGCTTGTTTTAAACTAGGTGTGATGGTGCACACCTATATTCCCGGCACTCTGGGATGCCAAGGGAGGAAGTCTGAGTCCAGCCTAGCCAACTTGGTCAGACCTATTTGCAAAAAAGTGAAAAATTAAAAAGGGCTAGGAGGGGGCTGGGGATTTAGCTCAGCGGCAAAGCGCCTGCCTGGCAAGCGCAAGGTCGTGAGTTCGGTTCCTGGTACCGGAGAAAAAACAAAAAAAAAGGGCTAGGAATTCATAGCTCAGTGCAGAAGCCCTGAGTATTGGGAAAAGAAAGAAAAAGTTTGATCTCTAAAGTAAAGCAAGAGGAATTTATGGTCCACAAGACTTCTTCCAAATCTGAAAGCAGATTCCTTAGTTTGGCAAGAAGAGGCTCTGTACCAGGGATCAACATACTTTTTTTGGTAAAGGGACACATAATAAATAGTTTGGGCTTAGGAGGTACAACCCTAATGAAATACTAAATAGTAAAAGTAGAGTATCCCTAACAATTCAATTCTAAATTAAATGTGTATGTATACCTTATATTAAAAAGTTATACCTCAAAACTTAAAATAATAACTATAACCAATTAAGCTCTATGTGATACTGTTCAAATTGCTGAAACAGCCCTTTGAGGTAAGTGCTATCACTATCCATACTTTATACTATGGCAAAGAAACTAAGCAATTTACTTCTGAGTAGTGGGACTGTCCGTAATTTTATTACCTTTTTTCAAATTAGATTTACCCCATCTTCTTTTTGGCAATAATCATTAATTACTTTTATAATTTTTAAAAGCTTTTAAAAAAATGAACATGAGCCTTTATTACACTCAGAATTGTAAGATTTGACTTTTTAAAGGGTCTTTAAGTATTCAATAAAATCGTACTATAAGCACTTCAGTGAGGTTTTACTTCTTACATACTCAACAAATGCTGAGTGAGACAAGGTATTTGTTCAAAGAGCTAGCCCATGAGTGAAAAGTTAAATTTTGAGGTCTTCTCTATGTAGTTCAGTCTGGCCTTGAATTCACTTTGTAGCCCAGACTGGACTCAGAATTGCAGCAATCATCCTGCCTCAGCCTCCCAAGTGCTGTGCTTAGAAGCATGCACCACCACACCCAGCTCTTTTTTCTGCTTTTATGTAAATCTTTCTCCACTTACACTCTCCACCTTCCTACTTATGCCCCTGAAACTCCCTGCAACATGCTTCACCTCCTCCCTCTTTCCATTTCTTTTCTTATCATTGATTCCTGTCTGACCAGACCCCTATGTTTTGCTCAATAAACACTCAACCACTTGGGGAATGAATACCAATCAAATACTCACCAAGTTTTCTTTTTTGGAATGACTACTTCTTCAATTCCTTAATGAGAAAAAAATCAAATCAGTTTCCTAATATTACTACAACATACAATATCTTGATAAACAGGGAAACTATTTCAATAGCCTTAATATACCTGTTACATCAGTTCCTTCAACCTTTGGGCAAGCTGTATTTCCAGAATAAAATCTGCAAAAAATGAAAGCTTTAGCTAATACTCGTTAGTGAAGTTACGAGCTCAAAGCTTACTTCTACTTACATGCATTTTGAGACCAAATGTTTCAATTACCATAGACCAAACAGACTGGGTAATTCAGGTCAATGTATGGGAGGCCGTGACAGTAAAGATCAGCTTGTTTCACCTAAAGAATTTGTATAACAAAGCTAAACACCGTCACCCATGGCCTTTTATGCCACATTCTTTAGTAATCAGGAATGTATCAAGTATGAAAGATGTAATTTATACTTAGAATTGCTCTTATTTTAGTAGAGGCTCAAGTATGAAAGAACATAACCCAAAATATACAATCACTGCCCCACAAGTGAGTCTTACAATATTCTGATCACATTAAAATTATAGTCAGTATCCCACAGATAATGGGCATGATTAATATTACCTTGTGTATTCCCTTGGTAAATGGCATCAGTACAATTCAGAAAACTGAGATGTCATTACACAGAAAAATGCTTCCTCCACTACATCTGGTCTCAGGTATCATTTAAAGACAATAATATTTCTTCTAAGGGTATTTTAGAAAGGAACCAAATCTTACATATCATGCTATGTGTTTCTTGTAGCATAACGACCAAGAACAGCCAGCCTGTACTACATAGTGAGAATATATAGTCTTGAGAATAAATGCTGAGGGAGGGATGTTGCTGTCAGGTAAAGAAAATGGGTAGATAAATGTCCACATTAAGCATAACCAGGAACAGGAAGATTGGAATTGAACTACATAAAGGCTTCTGCAGTCCACATCTGTAATTCCAGCACTAGGAGACTGAGGCAAGAGGACCTCCCTAAATTCGAGGCCAACCTGGGCTACATAGAGAAATCAAGGCCGGCCTAAACTACATAGTGAAACTGTCTCGAAAAAAGAAAAAAGCTTCTGCAATACCAGGTCAAGTGTTTTCTCTTGAGGGTAATGGAGAGAAAGTACAGATAAAATATTTACTGTAAACTACTCATCTTTTTTGTTCCTTAGGATTTTTTCACATGGTTATCTACTTAAACTTTATTTACTACCATCCAACTGAGGAAAAGTTTCACTACAATCACTGAATCTAAAATCGCGATTTCCGGGGGCTGGGGATATAGCTCAGTGGCATAAGCACCTGCCTGGCAAGTGCGAGGTCGTGAGCTTGATCCCCGGTACCGCCAAAAAAATAAAAATAAATAAAATAAATAAATAAATCAAATCGGGATTTCCTTGGGCTGGGATTTAGCTCAGTGGTAGAGTGTGTGTAACTAGCATGCATGAGGCCCTAGGTTCAATCCCCAGCAACAAAAATATTACATAATTAATACAAAAGCTGGGTGTAGTGGCGCACACCTGTAGTCCCAGCAATGGGGGAGGATATCAAGTTTGACTCAGTTTGGGTAATTTAACAATTTAGGGAGATATTGTCTTTTAACTTAAAAAAACTGAGCCGGGCATGGTGGAGCAAGCCTGTAATCCCAGCACTCGGGAGACTGAGGCAGGAGGATCACTGCGAGTTCGAGGCCAGCCTGGGCTACAAAATGAGCTCAAAGCCTGCCTGAGGCGCATATCGAGACCCTGTCTCAAAAAGACCAAAAAAAAAAAAAAAAATTTAGAAAAACTTCTGAGGCTGGGGATATAGCTCATTGCAAAAGCCATGCGTTCAACCTTCAGTACTGAAAAAAATGTAAATGAACTTTTAAAAATAAGTTTTTTAAGTTAAAAAAAAAAAAACTACACGCTATTCGTCTCATATTTCCACAAGGTCACTGTAGTAATAAAAACTACTTATATAGTTGATTCAAGTTCCAAGCCTTAACTACCACAGATTTAAAGGATGGGGGGGGGTGTGTGTCATACTTCCGCTTTTATGATAATCTGATCATTTACTTGATCTAACTTAAGGGTGTTTGTACATAACTAATATATTTCCCTAAAGAATACATGCTAGGTTGGGTTTTTTTAGTTTTTTTTTTTTGAGACAGAGTCTCGCTATGTAGTACAGGCTGGCCTCGAACTTACAGCAACCCTCCTGCCTCAACCTCAGGCTCCCGAGTGCTGGGATTACAGGCGCGCGCCATCCACACCCTGCCTAATACATGTGTTTTGTATTCCTGTATTTCAAGGCACTGGCGCCGCAAGCTCGTTCGTGGGGGACAAGCGGCCGTGAGAATCCGCATGCGCACACCGTAACATCCAGCCTAAATCCGCAATTCTCAGGATAATATGACTAAATTGATTCCAAGTTCATCCTTACGGATTCCCCATACTTCTCTTACCTGCAACTGTGTAACCTTTCATACACACCTACCCGCTGACTCGTGAGGGGCAAGCGAAGGCCACTGCGGACCCTCAGCCACCGAGCAGACACTACGGCCGCCATCTTTCAGTTCTCCGCAGAGCGTGCTGGGAAAGCACGGCCTCGACCTTTAGGGTCAAGGGGAGGGGGGAATGGACGGGGAACACGCGGCTAGAAATGGGAGGTAACAACCTCATGGTTGGAAAGACTGTCACAGCAGTTAAAGGCTCAATACTCCTCATTTGTCTTGAAGAAATTTTCTGAAACTATTATTTTAATGTTTCATATATTTTTAAATATTTTCAAAGTAAAAAAGAGTAAAAATTCTGAAAAATAATTTCCCTCCCCTCCCCGGAAAAAGTGATTCTGTCCACGTAACTACGCCAGCCTGCGTTTCCCGCGCGCAGGCGCAGTTTGAATCACGTGTTGGTTCCTGAGTTGCGGCTGAGTTGCGAGTTCTCGGGTGGTGAGGGGGACATCTGTTTCTGCGTGTCGGGTCTCAAAACGGACCTAGAGGATGTTGGGCTCCAAGAACATGCCCTGGCGGCGGCTGCAGGGCATTTCCTTCGGGATGTATTCGGCTGAAGAGCTCAAGTAAGGAGGTGGTGGGAAGCGTGGATATCCCTGGTGCTGAGGTGGGCGCCATGAACTACTATTCCCAGAAGGCCTTTCGCCGAGCCTATCGGCGAAGGGCATGATTGTATGTCGTGTGCCTCCCGCTGGTCACCGCAGTCCAGGCCACATTCCCGAGCCCGTGTGTCCTGCCTGTGTACGACGCGGTGGGGCCGGAGATGCACCGCAGTACTGCCTTACCGCCCGATCATCTTTTCCTTAATTAAATAGCGTTTAATTTCTGTAGTGACTTACACGTAGCCGTTGAAATGCAGTTTCCTCTTGTTTGCACATTGATTATCCTTTAGCCACGGTTCAATCCATAGAGCAGGGTCCCTCATCTATTTTCTACCTAGTTACTGAGTTACTGAAACTCTCTTTAGTCCTCAGTTTTATCACGGTACCATTTGGCACTCTTCACCGCACCCTCTTGAAGCTTTGCTGTCTTCCAGGATCTTTCTTTTTACTATATGTGGAATAAGTAGTTTTTCCTTTCTCCCTCCCTCCATCAGGCTGTCAACCGTTGAGCATCCTCTTTTAGCCAGGTACTAAGTAAGCTGGGTGTTCACATGTCGCGGAACATGATCCGTGTTCCTTGAGGTCCTATTCTATTCCTATCTTAAATATTGACTGTAAGGATTCTTAGCGTTTTTTTTATTGATGCGCCCAAATTTAAGTCTCCAGCCAAAAATTCTTTTCCTGATTTTTAGGTGAATTTCCAATTATTTAACTGTTTTCTCGACATCTTTACTTGACTTTTCACAGGAATCGTAAACTCATCTATTAAAATTTCAACATACACCGTTCCCACACATGCAAACTGAAGTGGAACTTGCTTTCCAAAACGGTGTGTCTAGTCTAGTATAAAATGGTCACTAGAAATGGGGAAATTCTAATTCTAAACTTAACTTTTCCAACAAATTTCTAATTTATTTGATCCATCTCTTGCTCTGTGTCATATTTATGTTTTATATTTTATACTCTTTCACACCTATTGCTACTGCCTTAGAGCAGGCCCTTACATGTTTAAATCACCCCCATTCCTATCCAGTCCATCCTACACACGGCTGTCAAAAATGAGTCTTCCACAATGTGTATGTGTTTATCTGTCACTCCCCACCCCCTTTGGTTTTTTGAGACAGAGTCTCACTAAGTTCAGGCTGGTCTTGAACTCACTATGTAGCACAGGCTGGCCTCAAATTCACAGTGAGCCTGTGAGTTCTTCCCCAGCCTCCCCAAGTGCTGAGATTATAGGTGGGTGCCACCATGCCCAGCTTCATCTGTCACTTTTTTTTTTTTTTTTTTTTTTTTTTTTTTTTTTTGAGACCAGACTCGCTATGCAGTTCAGGCTGGCCTTGAATTCACTTTGTAGCCCAGGCTGGTCTCGATCTCGCAAGGATCCTCCTGTCTCAGCCTCCTGAGTGCTGGGATTATAGGCGTGCGCCACCACGCCCAGCCAATACTTATTTTAGCTATAATATCATCCCTGCTCCAGCTCCACTAAATAACTTGTATATTGCAGAAATTGCTATTATACTATCAAGCTATTCTGCATTGAGTGTCCTTTCTGCCAGCGTGACCTGCTTCCCTCTGTCCCTCACCAAACATGCACCTAAAGGCTCAGTTCAATGTCCCTCATTTTCTGAGATCTTTCTGCTCCTAATGCACTGTGCTTTAATTGCTTTTGTGACTGTTTACATTTGTCTCTGTCCATCAGCCTTGAGATTCTTGTGTCTTGTTCCTTTCTTTTTTCTTCAAGGTTGAATGAATAAATAGGTAAGTAAACTCCTGAGCTATAGGTACCAATTGTAACTGTGTACTAGTTTATCATCCCTAGCCGTAAGTAGATAGTTTTGTCCAAAAGCAAAAATGTTTTAGGTTGCTTGCATTTTTTAAAAGATAATTGTAGTCAGGCTTGGTGGCGCATGCCTGTAATCCCAGCACTCGGGAGGCTGAGGCAGGAGGATCCTTGCAAGTTTGAGACCATCCTGGGCTACAAAGTGAGCCCAAGGCCAGCCTGAACTGCATACAGAGACCCTGTCTCAAAAAAAAAAGATAATTGTAGCCAGATGTAGTGGTGCACGCTTATAATCGTAGCATCTGGGAGGCTGAGGCAGGAGGATTGCCATGAGTTTGAGGCTAGCCTGGGCTACATAACAAGTTCAAGATGAGCCTGAATTACAGAGCAAGACCTTGTCTCCAAAAAAGTAAGCAACAACAAAAAAAACCAAAAACCCAAAAGATAATTGTAGTTTTCAAATAAGAAATAGCGCGAACAAAATTTATATCCATCACTAACATTGTAGACCTTTTTTGATATAAGGTTGAGAAATTTAAATAATTGTCCTTTTTATGGTGTTAAGCTCTCGTTGCTTTCTATCTCAGAGTAAAAGCCAGGTGACCTGGTAGGGCCATTCTGGTCCAGACTTCACCTCAGTTCCAGTTACCCTGGCCACCTTGCTGACCCAGAACACACTGGCACACACCTACCTTCGATGTCTGCCTTGCCTGCTGCTGCTTCTTGTAAAGTCTTTGACTGGGTGATTGCAGCATTTGCTCCTTCATCTCCTTTAGGCCTTTGCCTAACTCTTTCCTTAGTGACAACTTCTGTGGTCACTTGGTCCACATCTTTCTTTCCTCTCCTGCATTATTTTTCTCTATAGCTGTCTGAAGCCTACATACGTAATTTAATGTGTGTGTGAGGGGAGGTATTTGTTTTGTTTTTCTTCTCTTCCTGCAATGGAGTATAAAGTCTGTAAGCATAGAGATCTTTATTTTCCCCCGCACTCAAAACTGTATCTGTCACATAAGCAAGCAGGCAATACGTATTTGTTGCGTGCATTAGTAGATAGGTAGAGGAACAATGTACTTAGCACTTGGCACTTTGAGTCCTTACTATAACCATTTATGATGGTACTGCTGGTTAAGGGAAAAGAAATTCAGGCCCAGAGAATAAAATGTTTCTTTAGAACTGGCAGAAGTCATCCTCAAATCCAAGTCTGTTGGTCTTAAAGTGCGTATCCGGCAGTAGAATCCTTATTGGTACCCCTCCCCTACATCCCACTCTTATAATGTAAAGAGTGACTTTCTCCTCTATCCTAGCACAGAGAGCAAGTTGTTCCAGGGACTATATTTTTTTACATATTCTGACACATTCAGGACAAGCGATTATCATATGTTTCACTGCCCTGAGGCTCTGGTTTATTTGTATTATTATCCTGCCAGCTTGAGCCACTGGTGTGCATCGCTTCTCTGCCTTTTGGCTAAGATCAGGTGGAGCCACTGGTGTGGTACACGCATGATTGTCTCATTGACTGGCACAGGATAGTCCTATCGGGTGGTACAAGGTACACAATGGAATATTATTTAGCCCTAAAAAGCAAGAAAATTCTGATACATGGACATGGATCAACCTTGGGGACATTAAGTTGAGTGAAATAAGTGACTCACAAAAGGACAGTAGAATATGATTCCACTTAACATATGGTACCTAGAGGGATTAGATTAATTGAAACAGCAAAATAGTGGTTGCTTGGTAATGGGGAGAGAGGAATGAGGAATTAATTGTATAATAGATATAGATTTCACTTTTGTAAGATGAAAAGAGCTGTGCAGTTTGGTGATAGTGATAGTAGCACAGTGTGAATGTACTTAATACCACTTGATTGTATTCTTTAAAATGGTTAACATGGTAAGTTCTATGTATATTTAATTATGATTTCAAAAATTAAGGGGGAAAAACAAGAAGCTAAGTAGTTTAGTATTATTCAGTTCAGGGTTGCAGGTGAACTCCAGCTTGGTGTGAAGAGACCAGACATAACGTCCGCTTAAAGTTTCTGGTGAAATTTGCTTACCACCACCAAGGTGACCATATAGGTAGCCACTGCAGTCAATCTGCCTAAAGGTAGATCTTTCAGACTGGCACTGACTGTTCAATGTTAAAGTGTCCAAGGTTTGAACAGTGGACCATCATCACGTTATACTCAGTATATGTGTTACCTTCCTGAAAAACTTAGCACTTTTTATGTTGGTTTTCAATAAGATGTTAGATTGGGATGGTTCTTTTGTCCTTATCTTTATTTTCTAAATTAGGAAAGTTTTAAAGACGCAAAGTAGGCTTTTTAATAATACAGTTATGTGTCATGTAGTGATAAGGATGCCTTCTGAGAAGTGCATCAATAATTGCATCTTGTGAAACATCGTAGAGTGTACATACACAAACCTCGATGGCCTAGCGTGCTACCCACCTGGGTCTCTTGTATGTATCATTTAATATGCAGCCCATTTTTGACAGAAACACCTACAGGCAATATATGACTAGTTATTCATTTGTCCTTTAGGAGCCTCTTTAAACAAACATAAAATGTGATGAAATCTTTTGTAAAGCAAGTTCTGTTTCTTAAAGCTTTGAATATCTGTATTAGTTTTCTTAAATTTGCTATTTCTGATTACAAGTGTTGTACATCTCTTTCATTGAACTGAGTTAGGTCTGTTTTATGTCGTGCTTCCTTCACATTCTGGCTGTCACTTGGATTAAATTGCCTAACTACTCTAAGATCCCCTCTAAAAAAACACATAGAGTGATGCTTATCTCAGAGAGCTAAGACCAGGAGTACACTTGATCTTATTCAAAAGGCCAAGAAGTAATTTCAAGACCAAGTAAATAATGCTGCTTGTAAAGCAGAGGGTAGTACATGCTTAAGATTCCCTTTGATAAAAAGTTGACCAATGCACTGGGTGTGAATTTTACTCGATTTTTTTTTTTTTTTAAATTTTACTGTTCTTATTTAATACATACTTACTGAATGTTATAGTTTAAATGTAAAATGTACCCTCAAGTGTCATGTGTCTGAAGGCTAGTTGGATTATGTTGGTGCTTTACTCATCTGTGGGTTCATCCACTGATAATTTCAGTAGCTGAACATGTTGTTAGGGGGTGGGGCCTGGTTGGAGGTGGGTCACTAGGGGCATCACTTAGAAAGGCGTATTCTTGTTCCTGGGCTCTTCTCTCTCTCCCCTGGCTGCCATGTGATGAGCAGCTGTCCTCCGCCATGCTGCCATGTCATTTCTGTGTTGGAGCCCACTGACCATGGGTTGAATTCTCTACAAACTGTAAGCCAAAATAAACCTCTCCTCTGTGAAGTTGTAGATATTGAGTATTTTGTGCCAGTGATGGGACTGTGACTGATACACTGAATAACAATTGTGTGCTAGCCCTGCATGGGTGTTGGGTATAGTGGTAAGCAGGACTATGAGAGACTCTGCTGCCAGCACATTCAGTATGTCAGAGGAAACCATTAACCCTTTGAGTACAGTTTTGTAAATGCTGGAAAGGAAACATTAGAAAGGTCTATAACCTGAATTTTCTCTTGTTCTTTTTTATCTCTTTAGGAAATTAAGTGTTAAATCCATCACAAACCCACGGTACCTGGACAGCCTGGGGAACCCATCAGCAAATGGTCTATATGACTTAGCATTGGGCCCTGCAGATTCGAAAGAAGTGTGCTCCACCTGTGTACAAGATTTCAACAATTGCTCTGGGCATCTGGGCCACATTGAGCTCCCGCTCACAGTGTACAACCCTCTCTTCTTTGATGTATGTGCTGCCTGGGGTGTGTGGGTCTCGGGTGCTGAAGGGATTGTGAGGCCACAGCTTTTCCCACAGAAGGTGTCTGAGAAGCTTAAGCTCTAGAGGCTTTGTGTTAAAGCATTGTCTAGAAAGAAAACCTAGAAGAGTCAAACACAGGTTGAATTATCTGAAGTACTTGGGACCAGAAACGTTTTTGATTTCAGAATTTTGAAGATTTTGGAATAGTTGCATGTAATAGTGAGATGTTGGTGATGGACCCCAAGTCTAAACAAATTCATGTTTCATATATATATCTGTATACCCAGTCTGAAGGTAATTTTATATATTTCTCATGCACCTGCATTTGGACTGTGACCCATCACATGAGGTCGGGTGTTTCCCCTTGTGGTACCAAGTTGGTGCTCAGAAAGTTGTACATTCTGGAACTTTTTGGATTGGTGATATTCAGCCTATTATTTTGACTTTCCTTATACCTCTGATTAAGCAAATTGCAATTTGATTCCAGTTGAGAGGTGCTCTGGTTTGATTATATTCACATGAGGACAAATGTTCAGATTTATTCCTTGCACCTTTTGTTCTACAGGCTTTATGCTTTTCAGAAACCTAGTTCTGAATACAGAACTTGAGTGTTCTTAAGGCCTCAGAGCTCTTAAAATGGATCTATAGAGTGTTCCTTGGTAGCAGGAAAAGCAAAGCTTCAGAAAGCCCAACAATCAGATCAAAATAAAACATAAAGTCCTGCTTGTGCATATTTAGCTTACAATATCAGTGAATGTAGCCTCTGGAAGTGTTTTTTAAAGCTACTTCTTCGTGTACGTAGACATGATTTGTCTGCTAAATCTATTAAAGAAAGGTTATTGCCATAGTTAAGTAACTGTACAAGAGAAAAGTTAATATCCTGTCTCACCATAACTAAATTTCACATTTTAATGAGTTAAATTGAAACCATAAAAGAAAACATAGAAGAATACTTCTAATTCTTAGAGTCAAAAAGGCCTTTCTAAACATATGGGCAGGAGTAGAGTTCTTAAAAGAGCAAATTGACTGCAGAAAGAAAAATCTCAGGAGTACACAAAATCATCAAGAGTGCTATGTCTCTTTCTGATATCCTGTTCCTTTTTATACTCTTTAGAAACTCTACCTGCTGCTCCGAGGTTCCTGTTTAAACTGCCACATGCTGACCTGTCCCCGAGCTGTGATTCACCTCCTTGTCTGCCAGCTGAAGGTTCTGGAAGTTGGGGCCCTACAAGCAGTATATGAGCTGGAGCGAATTCTGACCAGGGTAGGTAGATAATGGTAGACACAGAAATCAGGAAAGCCAAGTAGTGGGGAGTAAGAGATGTTTGTATGTTGTTCTTAATTACCATCCTTATAGTCACCAGAGTATGACTCAGGTGAAAGGTACCTATGCAGGTAGCCCTTATGGGGTATAACGGCAACAGCAAGCAGAAACACTGAAACAACACCCAGGATTTGGATGCAGATTGAACATCAGATGGGCACTGAGAGTGAATCAGTTGTCCCTCAAAATGTCAGGCCTTGAAGGCCCAGGGAGGGAAGTTTTTACAGGGTTTCAAAGGGGAGGTACAGCAGTAGAGTATTTGGCTGTCTTTGATTGGTTCTTATAATATGCATCATAGTAACCAGCTGTGCATCACAGTGACAGACATTTCTAAGAAACAGAAGCAACCAGAACTACAACAGAAACTGTCACCTGGGCCACTGAAGTATACTGACTGGGGGTGAGGGCCATTTTCTGCTGTATTTCCCCCATTTCAGTTTCCCTGGCAAGTCTTTGCTGGGCATATTATGTATGATCTTTTGAGACAAGGCCCAACTAGAAACAGTAACGTCAGTGATCCTAGGATGGACCCTAGCCAAGGTCCCCAGTGTTGTCTTATTACAGTTTTTTCCTAAGTTGTTTTTAGGAAGAGACATAATTTAGGCCTCTCTGTTCTGTAACACTACTCTGACAAGGAGAAAAACCATAGCTAGCAGGGAGGCAGGGAAGCAAGGACTGGGGTAAGCAGCCTGAAAAGGCACAAAAATCAGGGGAATCATGTATTGAGGTATGGAGCAATATTGTTAACAGTATCCTCAGGCTTCAGCCATGCATGGACTGGTCAGTGTCGAGAGTGATTAGAGCAGGGCTTTGAGTGTCTTGTCTCTTCATAGTGAGCTTCAGAGGAGCTATCTGGTCCAGGTATACGAGGCTGAATTTCTGAAACTTTAAGAGCTGTTAATACAATATGTGCAGGTGTGTCCACAGGTATAGCTGGTCTTTCAGCTAAATTTTTATGGAACTGGTACAAGCTATTTTTTAACTTTTTTAGAGCTTTGTGACCTGTATGCTGTATGTAGTTTCTATTTAATCTAGTTTTTGAGTTACTTGTGTAGTTTTGAGTTACAAATGCAGGCCTGTTGTTGCTGCCAGTGGTCAAGGGTAAGCCATATCTAGGGGTGATTTTTTTACAGCAGAACCCTGCAGACTTTTGTTGCTCTGTCAGCTTGGGTAGGTAATGCCTTGGGCCAACCTGAGTAGGTGCAGACGAGCACTAAGTCTGTCTGTATATCCTGGTGGAGCTCAGGGCTGATGACCCAGATGCTGAAACCTGAGCTGGCTGCAGGGGATACAGGTGCCACCTCTGTGGCTTGAGCTTGTACAACATACAGTGCGGCAGGTTTGGCTGTGATTAAAGTAGATCTTCTAGGAGTACCAGGCAAAGTTTTTCTGGCTAGGGTTGATGTTTCGGTCAGTTGGATCCCCAGAAGGGGCTTTAGAAGTGCAGGTTTGGTGTCCTTGGTGGCAGGTTTCCAAACAGCAGGAAGCAGTAACAGGAGAGCTTTGGCCAAAATAGCTTTGTCCAAGGTGACCACAGTATATCTAGCCTGTTGGACTGTACCCCTAACAGTGCTACTTCCATCCTTACTCAGCATCTGTCAGGGGTTTGTTTTTAAGTCTGATTGGCTTGAGAACAGTTGATCAGTTAGTGCCAGGTAGTCACAGTCTGGTGGGTCCAGCTTGGTGGGCAGGACTGAGTGGTCCTCCGTTACTCAGGAGGTCCAGTACATCATGTGGCACCTGGACAGTTAGGTCTTGCCCTAAGGTGAGCTTGTCAGTGTTCTTGATCAGAACACCAGTGGCTGTTAGACCACGAAGTTGCAGGGAGCCCCTAACAACTGGATCTAAGTATTTGCACAGGTAGGCCACTGGGTGCTCCCAGGAGCTGACAGTCTGAGTAAGTATCAGTTGTTTTTGTGCAGCTCCAAGAAATTTGTACAGTTTCTCTCTTGTAACCAGTTTCTACCAGATATTGCAGCAGAGCTTTGTGCCTTTCTCTTCATTAATTGGAAGCGTAGTGATACTTTGTGCCAGGAAACTAGTGAAGTCAGCTGTGAGGGCTCCTCTAAAGAGGGTAAACAAGTATTGAACCTCTGAGAGGTTGAGTCCAGAGCTGCTGGGGTCTTTTCATTTAAGGGTGAAAAGGGGCTGGCTGACAGGAGCCAACCAAAGGCAGAAGGTGGCATTCTTTAGGTCCTGGCAGGTATACCAGCAGGCTGTGGGTGGCAGAAGACTGAGGCAACATATGGAGGGCAATTGCAGCAACATTGGCAGAGT